ATGGTCTCTTTAGGGTATATTCCCAGTAGTGGAATTGCTGGGTCAAATGGTATCTTTATTTGCAACTTTTTGAGAAAGCGCCACAATGCTTTCCACGTGGTTGCACGTTAGTGTGATTTTGATGACTGTTCAGGACTTCTTCCCATCTCCACCTGAGACTTTGCTAACACCTTTCGGGGGGTCAGCAGCGGGAGCCAGGCACCATCTAGGTTCTTCTGGTCTCAGAGTTCTGCAAACTGAGGATGGCAATAAACACTGATGCTGTGGACTTCCTGCTTCTGTGCACCTCTGACTGTCTTCATTCTTAAATCCACTCATTTCTAACACTGGCCTCAAGCGAGATAGATCAGAAGCAATCACAGATTTGACAAGAGATTTAATACAATGAAAATACACTCTCCCCGTATCCCATTGCAGCTCCCCCTGCATCCCCATGTCCACCCTGGGTCAGAGAGTGTCTGGGGCCTCCGGGCACAGCGGGAGCGATCCTGAGCTTGCACTGGGGGAAGGAACCTTTGGTCGAGGTTGGCAATTACACTGTTTACTGATGGGGGCTGGGGAGGGCCCTTCCCTGGGGGCCCTGGGTTGGCACTGACAAGGGTGTGTGCTCAGATAGAGCATGTGCTCAGATAGAGCAAGAGCAGCCCATGGCCACACGAGGGAGCTAGGGAGCAAGAAACCACCACAGATTGTCAGGGTGAGGCGGGCACAGACCACCTGCTTCCTCCCAGCCGTCCCCAGGGACTGCTCCGGTGCCTGGGTCAGGGGCTGGTGGGTCCCTGAAGCAGGAGAAGGCCCTGCTAGTGCTGTCCTCTGAAGCCACCATACCTGTCTATATGTTTCTCACCACCATGAGCAAAGCCAATGCAGGTAGGTCATTTCCAAGGGGGCTTTGGTTTCTGGGGGGCCCTACTGCATCGAGGGGTTGCTGGCACTGACACACTGATGGACTGAGCCCTGGGAGTCACCAGGGGGCTCCGGAAGGTCACCCCCAATGGGGAAGGCCTGGGGTCCCTGGGCCCGTTGGCATGGGGGGCACCTGAGGGTGGGTTAGGGGTGCGGGAGTTGTTCAGGTGAGTAAGGGACCGGGAACGCCTCTGTGGCAGAGGGACTGGAGGGTCCGATGCAGCCTGAGGCGGCCGCTGGGAGCCAGCAGCCGCCTCAGGCTCTGCCTGCGAAGGGCCAGCAGGGTGGACAGCTCGAAGTGGGGTCTCCCTGGGCTGGGGTGACTGGCTGCCCCTGGGAGTGGCGGGAGGCGTCCAGAAGAGAGCATGGAGTTTCACAGCATTGCCCTTTGCCATCCATGGGGACTCCCAGCCCGCGGCTTCAGGTCGGGGGCCAAAGAGCGACTCGTCACAGTAAGAGGGAGTATGGCCGATCAACCTGGCAGAGGGTAGAGAGACAGTGGATGGGAGAGAAATGGCCCCAAAACCTTCACACCCAGCACCCACAGTTCAGGCGGGGCTGCCTGCAGATTCCAGGAGTCCCTGCCACTCAGCCTGGCACTTCAGAAACCCCTGTCCACCTGCCCCAACTTCCAGGCATGTGACCCCCAAATCCCACAGGCAAACCTAAAGCAGGACCAGGATCCTCATATCCAAGAGGGCTATGCTTTCTGGGATTCTACCTCTGCTGGGAGAGGGGAGGGCGGCACAGAGCAGGAGAAAGGCAGGGTGGTGACAGGAATGTGGGTGGCTTCACCCCTACCTGTACTTGTTCTTCTTCCTGGGTGTGAGAGCTGGGGTGCTGTCCCTGGGCAGAGTGCTCGCACAGTTCTCAGTGGCCCTTGTGGCCTGCAATGGCCCTGGGCTCACTCCCCTGGTCCTGCTGGTCTCTTCCACCCAGGGAGGGTCAAAATCCGGGGGAGCAGGCCGGAGACTTGTAGGGTCACCAAAGAGGCTCTCGTCCACGTAAGATGCCCGGGCTTTGCGCCGGTAGCCGCCCCGGCAGCGATGCTGGAGATGGAGGGTCTGCATCGCACTGCTGGTCAGCTCCACGGGCAGCCTCATGGCTTACACTGGGCATGCTCTGTCTGTCCACTCCCTGCAGGGGCTGCCTGGGAAAGGAGGCGTGTCCAGTCAAAGGCAGTGCTGGTGAGGAAGACACTGCCCTGACCAGGACCCATAGGCCAAAGGTTCTAGACCCCCTTCAGATACTCCTCATGGGGGAGTCCTGGGAAGGGAGGTGCTCTGGCAACTGTAGAATGTCCCTAGTTGTCACAGTCTGGCGGCACTTGAATGCATTAATGAAGAGGACAGTTTACCTGCAAATAGTAGGTGCACAATGAATATGTAATGACGGGGGGATAGAAAAGAAGTAGTTCGTGCTTATTTGAAACACATGCAGGAGGGCAAAGGTTACTGTGGCACAGTGGATTAAGTGCTGGGCTGCTATCTAAAAGATGAGCAGTTCAAAGGCATCAGCCGCTCTGCAAAAGATGAGTTTGAAAAGGAAAAAAAAAGATGAGTTTGTCTGCTCCTGTTAAAATGAGATTTGGAAACCCTGTGGGCATTTCTACTCTGATCTCTAACGCGGAGGGAACTCCAGTCATCGAATGGGAAGAAGTTGTGTGTGCTGCCAACCCAAAGGCATACGGTTTGAATCTACTAGCTGCTCTGATGGGAAAAGATGGGCAACCTCATCAGTTCTAACTTAAATGGCATCTGAGAATAACAATTACAGAGTGAACACATGTACATTTAAAAGGGTGGAGCAAACGACAGCTGTACCAAGGCTTACCTCCTGCAGAGTGACGGCAAGCATCCTCTCATTTAATCCTCTCAGCAGCCCTGGGAATTTGGTCCATTCCACAGCCGGTTCAATCGGTAGTCACATTGCCTAGAAAGCAGTGGAGTTGGAATTTGAACCTTTGAAGAGTTTAGAGAAGGTGGTACTTTCAATGGTTTGTACCTGACCACTAACTGTAAAGTTGGCATCCCACCCAGGGCACTGCAAAAGGCAGCCCAGGCACTCGGCTACTGCCACGCTGTCAAGAAGCCCCTATGGTTTAGGACTGTCGTTAAGTCTGCATCCATATGTCCCTTTTCTTTATGTATGAGTCGAGGCCTGTGCACCTAGCCATTCTATTATAGGGGGCACCCCGCACCGCTCGCCACTTGAAGCTCCAGGTCTCTACGATTTTTTTCCTCCCAATGTAGCAAAAAGAAGTGAAAAAGGTTGTACTAAGGTGATAAGAGAGAGGCATTGCTAGTGAAAGTAAGGCCACGTAAAAGAAAGACGGGTAAAAAGAGGGGCGAATGCAAACCTCCCAGCATGCTGTCAGCAGAAAAGGAGAGGAAGAACAGGGTCTGCGCACTACTGAGTTCCTCTCTCGCCTGAAGGCCAACCCCCTAGATCCCGTCTCGCGCGCCCCCTCCCCACCAGGTCGGGTCCCCACTGGCGGGGCGCACGAACACCCAGGGTGCACGGGGCATCAGTGATCGCAGTTCCGATGCCCCCGGGGGTGATCGCAGCGCCCAGGGGCCGCACTCACCGGGGACCGCGGGGGCCCTAGCGACGCGCGCTCGGCGCGTGCAGCCTGCAACCAGGGCGCAGCGGGGACGCCGCGGCCCGAACCATTCCTTCCCGGGGTGGGGAGAGTGCTCCGTTCCTGACACCCCCACCCCGGGGCCTCGTAGAACAGGGAAGAGACCCTCAGCCCATCAGAGGTTCACGACTCGGACCCCCCGGTCTGCAGGCGGGGGGCGGGGCGCGGCCGGGGCCCCTGGACCAGGCCCACCTCCCCCCCTCCGCCGGCGGCGCGTTGGTTCGGCCCGCAGGCTCCGCCCCCTTCCGCGTCCTACTTCCGGGCCCGCATGGCGGCAGGCTCTCACACCGCGGCCGGCTCCCGGTCCCGAACGAACATGGCTCAGTTGAGGAAGAAGAAAAGGTTCCGCAAGCGCCCGGGCGCTGCCTCGCAGGCCCAAAGCAGCGACTCGGAGGACGGCAAGTTTGAAATCCAGGCGGAGGATGACGCCCGGGCCCGGAAGGTGGGAGCGCGGCGCCGGGACACGCGTCTGCGATCGGGGCGCCAGGGCAGCGCCGCAGCCTCAGTTTCCCCGCTGGGGGTAGGGTAGACGCGGCGGGGGGTGGGGTGCAATGCGTCTGCGCGGCGGCGGGGATGCAAGTCCGGGGGATTCATGTGCCTGGGGCCAGTCGTTCGGGTCTGGAGAATCCAGACAGCGTGAAGTTCCGGGGCTAGTTGATTGACGTCTCTCCCGCTCCCCTCATTGGCTACGTCGCACCCTGGGGGCGAGGCTTAGCTTCCATTTGTCCAATGAAAAGTGAGGGTGAAGATTGGGGCTTCGTGGAAGCTTGCTGTCAAGGGGAAAGCTGACACTTCCTGGGAAACTAATCAGTAAAACTTGACACTTGTTGAACGCCCTGCTGTGTGATCCGAGGCCTCTCGGGAAGAAGATATGGCAATCGGCTGTTGTAAATAGTTGCAGACTTGGAAGCCCTCTGGGGCAATTCTGCTCCAGCCTATAGTGTCAGAATCCACTCCATGCCTTGCTGGGCTTTTTTCGTTTTATGGTTCATGGCTCAATTCTCACATCAATTCTGTGAGCTCAGTCCTGGCATCCCCACTTTTCTTGATGAGTAAACTGAGGCTTTTGGAGGAACTAAAGAAATTGATCAAATGACATGCTCTATTACAGCTTGCATGTAGAGAGGAAGACTTAGACCAGTGACTAGATGTGCCAGTGTCCTCATCTCTGTCAGGTGCCTAGCACGCAGTGGATGCGCCGTAAATTATTGTGAAGCACGTGATAAAGGAGGCATGGGATAGCACAGAGGCCTGAGCTCTGTAGTAAGGGCCAAAAAAGAACGTCATGTGTCCACTCGGCCCAGCCCTGTTCCAGTTGTGGGGCGTTGATGGAAGTGGCCTGATTGTGTCTAGAGTAATGTTGCCTCTCTGTGTTCTCCCCTCCCAGGTGGGCCCTGGCAAGCCCCTGCCCTCCTTCCCCACTGCAGAATGCACCTCAGACGTGGAGCCGGACACTCGGGAGATGGTGCGAGCACAGAACAAGAAGAAGAAGAAGTCAGGGGGTTTCCAGTCCATGGGTGAGCTGGACATCTGGGGGCATAGTGGGAAATAGTGATAAGAAGGGATCACATACTCTGCACTCGATTACTGATGTCTGCCCAGCATTGAGGGGAAAGGGGGAGTCCAGGCAGCAGGGCAGACTCCGCAAGAAAACACTTAAAAGTGGGGCTCCAAAAAAGGCAGTGGTGGTGCAGGAACAGGCAAAGATGGGGGGGGGGGATTTACTACCTCACAAAATAGCATTTCAAGCCAGGGGACAAGGTAGTGGAATAGTTAGTGGTATTAGGACACAAGGCTCCTAGCTGTCTGGAAGTAAAGCTGACCCTACTCCCCTGCCTTTTATAAATATAGTAGGTGGAACAAAGATTTGAAGGTCAGGGTGGATATTTTTATAATGCTAGACAAGAAAATAAGGCTCTAGTGCAAGCACTGCTTAGTCATACTTTTTCTTAACTTAAGACTGTCTATGGCCAAAAGACATTACATCCAAAGTTAAAGTAAGTGCATGATTATAATCTGGGACAGGCAATATA